AGAGAGAGAGAGAGAGAGAGAGAGAGAGAGACAGAGAGACAGACAGACAGACAGACAGACAGACAGACAGACAGACAGACAGACAGACAGACAGAGACAGAGAGAGGCAGACATAAAGACAGAGAGACAAAGGAAAGAAAGAAAAAAAAGGATACAAACACACAGAGAGACAGACAGAAACACCGATAAATCTCGGTAGACGAAGAGAAAGAGTAACAAAGAAAGCAGAGAAGAGAGAAAAAAAAACAAATAATAACCACCAACAATGGAAAAGAAAATAGATAATTCAATTTGAACGAAGACAGGTCCGGGTAGAGCGAGCAGGCAACACATAGCCGTCTTTTCGTCTTTTCTCTCTCGCAATATGTCACACAAGGGTGAAATTATCGGAGAAAGGCACTGTTGCAACACTCTTACGGCACGGTCACGAAAAATATAAAATATATGTGACCCAAATCTCGTATCTATTTTTCAATTACACACCTACGGGAAATGCCTCCCTCACGCCTTCGCTGATTGGTCCAAAGGTCGCACGCCGTCGACCAATCAGCGATCAGAACGACGAGGAGGAGATTTTGTCTCTGATCTTTTAAACGCTTAATGTGGAGCGGTCGCGCGCGGATATGGGAACTTGACACCTATGTCCTCCTGAGCATAGGGGCGAATATTGCGTCCTATTTTTTTGTATTTTGGATGAATTGGAGATGCACGAAAGGTATCGTTTTGGCGAGGGGAAGAAAGACGAAAATAAATGGATAATTATCGGTCGGGAAGCAGAGCAGATATGAGAATATTCAACGAGGTTTGGAAACGGCAACAAAGAGAGAGAAATAGGGTGGAAGAGAAAGGATGGGTCAAAGAGAGCGAGAGATAGATAAAGATCAAGAGGGAGAGAGAGAGAAATTGAGAGAAAATAGAAAGAGAGAGAGAGAGAGAGATGAAGATAGATAGATGGATATAGAGAGAAAACAGAAAGAGAGAGAGAGATGGAGATAGATAGATGGATAGGGAGAGAGAGAGAGAAAGAAAGAACAAAAAACGAAAAAGAGAGAGAGTAGGATGGAAGCAAAGAGAGAAAGAAAAAACAAGAAACGTAAGAGAGAGAAAGAGATAGTAAGAGAAAAATAAAGAAAAAAACGAAAGGGAGAGAAAGGAGGAGAGGGAGGATAATAAAAGAAAAACAAAACAAAACACGAAAGAGAAACAAGAAGAGAAAAGACAACGAGACGAGACAAAGCGAGCAAGCAGACCACCTAAAGAAAAAAAGAAAAACAGAGGAAGATGATAATAAATAGATAAACCAAGGAGATAATTCATCGCAAAACTGATGCCCCGGACCAAAAGGCGAGAGATTTATGCAACATGAATATATCTTGTGTGAAAAATCAAATATGCAGATGCCTGAGGACCTCCACCTCCCTTCTTGCAACCTCCCTCCTCCCCCCCTCCCTCCCTCTTCTCTCTTCCTCCTCCTCCTCCCTATCCTTTTGCTTGAGACTGATAATACCCNGGAATATCCAGAGCGAGAAATCGAAGTGGAAAATTCCTTAAGACATTACATTATTATGTAAACAATGACGGTACACAGTAGCAGGGGAAGCATAGCAAGTGTCAGTTACTACCAAATACCCATAAAATTAGTAAAAAGGTCGTTGTTGGCAGCTTGCATGAATCCCCGGAATAGACTTGAGGCGCCTCGGTCAGGGAAAAGGCTTTTGAAGAGTAAAGACAAAGGATCGGATCTCGAGTGATTCTTGTTTTAAATTTCAGGGTTGCGAAATCACTGATTGAAATCTTCCGATTAATATAAACGATGAAGGATGGAAGCAACATCAAAAGAGACAGTCAGGCACCCGCTTTTTTTGTTGTTGACTTTCTTGTGGAAGGTCAACGTTTAGCAGAAAAGAGGATCTTTATCACTCGTCATCATTATGATATCATTATCATTATGATCAATTTGTCTTGATCAATAAGAT